GGCGCGCTTTTCGGTCGGAGTGGACGCTCGTGAATAGGTGCAATCCAGACGAACTTGCAAGCAATGACGGACGGGTAAATTAAGTATTGACATCAGTTACTGAGGCATAAACAGACCCTAAGCCGGGACGAAACAGGGAGAAAACGAGCAAAGAAACGAAACGGCGTCATAATAAACAGATGCGGGTCACGTTACTCATGAGTAGTCAAAAAACAAGGAAAGTTACCGCTGGTCTGATTCGATTCGCAGGCGGAATCAACAAATGGTCTAATCGGGGGTTAGTAAGAACCGTTGCTGAATAGTTCTCCGCCCGTCTTGTAGCAAAATTTGATTTGTATCCATCTTCCTGGTCCGATGGAGGGTTTATGTCAAAAGCAAAAAGTAGCCCAGCAACAGACACAATAACTATTTAAGCTTTCATGTTTTCGTAACGTAGTCCCAGATAACCGTTTTTTCATGTTTTTGCTCCAAGTTTACGTCAAAACACGTATTCTCCTGACTTCGGACCCACCCGAACACAGTCATAATAAAGACTTAATGCATAGGACTCCATTGGTTCGTAATGCCTCTGTCTACCACGAATGCATGGAAGCACTCATTGTTCTCGCCTCGAGGGTTTCAGCATCATGTATATTGGCAAAATGGGCCACGATGAAGAAATCAGACAGCTTCTAAATACGATGATAAACACTCCTAATATGCGTCCTAGTGAACATGTCCGTCTTATAATAACACATCCGTAGGATTCGCGCTTATCATTGAGTCTCATTTATCTCGTTATTTACCGTGTTTTGAGCCCAATCTGACCACTGGAAACTCCCAGGTAATAACTTTGGGATCAATAACAATGAACATGGTACTAACAATAAGGGATTCCCAGCATTCGCTTCAAGTGTCCACGCGGTCAGTGCTACAAGCCATTCACATCGATTTTCAATCGAATTTACTGTCTATATTATCCCCTACTGAATGTCATTTGTAAGACAAGTATGCTACGGTGGGCAAAATCAATACACAGGTGGAGAGGGGCATGCTAGTGCTTGAGTGTGTATAAGAATGCACCGTGAATTAGCAAAAACTGCGTACCATAGATGAAAAAAGGAAAGTAGGGTAGGAATAGATGCGAATGGTAGAAAGAAGTGTAATGCTCCTAGGTGATCTCTCTTAGCTGTGAAGCATAAACAGGTTCTCATGGAATGAATACTCGTGTGCGAAAGTAAGAGGAAGAACATCCGGTAAAACACAGAGAATCTACTGCTTGCCATCTGGATACAACTTCCTATACCATCCTAGAAACACCTCCTACGAGGATATGTGCGTCCCCCCCACCCAAAACGAGCACAGGACTCTTTCACTTTGAGGAGTGTACCACGGCTGCGGTGACCAATGGGCTATGCTCTCTGACACTTCTTTGATATCAGCCTTAATCAGAAAACAAACATGAAGTTGGAAGGTTCATCACTCACCTCAGAAAGAGCCTTTATCGTCAGTTGTTTCCAAAACACTGGATGAGAAGCTTCTGAAATAAACGAAAACCCAAATTATCAGCTCAATTCTTTTGACCCAACTGGAAGCTCACTTGAGAACAAGGCTGCTGGCGTTCTTTGAGAAAAATATGTGCTTACTCGTAGCCTTCGGGTAGCTCGGAAATTCGTTTACTTTATTCTTCTCTCACTTGACCTACAACACCATCACCGAAACTACGTGAGCCTAAGGACGTTGAAGATGACCCTATCCCTGACTTTGAGGTCAGTGCTTAGGTCTTCAACAGTCTCAGTGACTTTGTAATGCAAAAAAGGTTGCGAACGGTCTACTATGTTTACGTGCGACTAGGCTGATGTCCTTAAGTTGCGCATACCTGGAGCGCGAATCGAAACCTGTATTAGCTGTTCGTCCCTTGTTTTTGCTACAGTTTGCTACCAACCAGCTACAGGTTCGTGTGCAGCTGGCAGTATGCACTTTGCACGAATAACGGCTCTCCATATATGCTCGCTCGAGTGCTCGTTTGGTGTCGCAGCTTCTTAGGATAAACGAACATGTAAAGCAAACGGTACGAAAAAGACGGGCGCCCAATTGACCGTCGACGGATGTGGCACGGGTATTGGTGACCATCGATCCAAAAGAATGCCAGCTTGATGAGTTTACACGCAGGGTGAACTGTGAAATGCAGGTTCGAATGACCCTATATAAAAAACGACATCAAAGTGGAAGACTACTCACATGAGTTTCGTAACATCCTTTTACCGTCTTATCTACTTTTTCACACTCACATTACTCTCGACTGAACGGCCTTTTTTCCTGTCCTGGTGTAATCATTCCGGTGAGTTCACAGCATTGGCATTGAACTCGAGTTTTGTTCATATAGGAACATACCAGTACATATCGTTGGACTTGCCAGGGACATCTGATATGCGACACGAGCGTCAACACCATTCGACCAGTACAGGCTGAATGCACCTAAATTATTACGTCTGAACAGGCGAAGGTGTTCACACTTGAGCAATGTGATTGGTTAACCCGACGAGACTGTCCAAAAGAGAATGAAGTGAACGTTAACCCTAAAAATAAAGCAACCGTGTAGACCTGACCTGCGTCTGTCTGTACTAGTTTCGAGGATACGCCTTATCCGGAGCAGCACTTTCATGCCAAAATATTTGGGAATTGGAAAGTTCCTTTCCCTTCCTGAAAGAGTTCTCTTCGGGCGCTCTCCTAGGAATACCACTTGCAGTTGAAGGTTCTGTGAAGGTTAGAATCTTTCCATGATAAAACAATCTTGACATGTCCAATTGGGTGAATTTAAAGGTCAACGACAGGGTAACGATTCAACCGTATAAGTATGCTTCAGAAATTATAGAAAAGAGGTTTTCAGCTGTTTCCATGCCTGAAAAGTACGTTAACTGCTCTTGAAGCTATCCAATATTGGATTAATGGCTAAGCTGTAATACAGGGGAGCATGTATGGGGCTTTCACTGAATCTCGCGTAGTGAATGCTTCGCCGGACAAATGAGTAAGAGTAATTATCCCGACTGACTACCACCAGCGACCTCTTTAGAAAATAAATGGTCCATAGTATAGAATTAGACAGGATAAGTTGTTCCTGAAATCGGTGACGCAGTCGGTGGGCTCTGAAGCAAACACTCAGACTGGGACTCACGACCATATCTTTGGATGACAACTCTCAACTAAGTTGGTATGACATCATGCTGGTAGTACATTTGGTTGCCACCCAGTATTAAGTTGCCTGTCATACCTTGGTGTGTGCTACTATCTGTAATCGTACAAAAAATCGTTCAGCTGTAGCACCCTTTCAGTGCCTAGCTGCCATACCACCCGAAAGAGGCACGAGGGCTGGGATAATGCCAGGTTGCCCAAGCCTAGACAGGAGTCGAGTGGCGAGGTCGGATTCGAACCACGGACCTTCCGGTCAGTAAATTCGCGCTCTAACCACTTGGGCCATCTCGCTCATACAAAAGGTTTGCCCGACACAGATATCTGTTGAGAACAACTCACCAGGCTATATATCCTATGCAAGAAAGAGGTAGTGGCGTAATCTGTCAATTCCTTTACGTTTAGTTAGAATGCCGAACTTCCTTCACATGTCACAAGGAAGCAGGTCGGGGGGGGGGGGGCGTTTTACCAACGGTTTGGGTGGGGGGGGGGGGGGGGGGGGGGGGGGGGGGGGGGGGGGGGGGGGGGGGGGGGGGGGGGGGGGGGGGGGGGGGTGCTTTTGACTAACCGTTTCGGTTGCGATGGAAGAACAGGCCACCTAATGGCAGCGGCGACATACAGTCAGCATGAAGAATAAGAGAAACTTTTCCAGATTTACCGCGTCTGGGGACGCGTCCACGCCTGTACACACGGGCCTTTGTCTATCCAGAACTCTCTGGTACCGCATATTAGCGTTTGGTTTGGGCCCACTGTCTACGGTCCGTTCGGTAGGCGTGAATCAAGCATAAGCTCACTACGCTCCAACGTTATGGTTGTTCATAAGGTTCAACTGTAGAGCTAAACAGAGTATTCAGCCGTCAGAACAATAGAATGGTTGCCATTTGGGGAAACCACCATTTTAAGCTCTGAGAAGTAACAGAAGTCTGTTTTCTCCAACCGCACGGTCATATTAACATTTGTGAAGGTCGCTGGTCAGTGCTGTTGTGAAATGCCACTGGAAGCTAAGGAATCTGAACACTTGAAAGGGTAATGAGATCCAGGAAAGGCAAGGTAAATTATATTTCAAATTACACTGGGATGAAGAACTGATGTATATACAGATGAAAGGAAAGTAACAGGAGCCTATTGCACTGAAATCACGGTTATGAAAGCTCGAAACCTGCATGACTGTGGATTGCGTATCGAAGTTTGTCGCGCAGCACGCTCCTGGAGGAATAGTTTGGCAGCTTTAACAGATTGAAACAAGTGGACGTCGTGGGCAATCTGGATATCTCTTCACGCCGCCCACCAACTCCGAAAAAGCCCTTTAGAACAGATCCGAGTGTGTCACCAACGTCCTATAAAAAAGCAAAGCGGAGGAATGAAATATTTCACTGGGTAGGACAGCCACCCCAAGGAACGTGTCATAATAGAGCACGTCGTTGCATAGGGAAGAGATTCAGCGACAAACGGTGGCTACAGGAGCACGTAGTTGAAGAAAATCCTGCAACACGTACACAGTAATTTACAAGAAAGCGGAAAAGAGAAGTATTCATGATACTAGTCAGTAGATTTTGCGATAGAGTAGGTATTCCAAACGAGTACAGCCTTTTTCTGAGACGGCAAGTGGGGGAGCCAAAATGAAGAAAGGAAGGGTACTTGAAGGTTAGCATAGTGGGAGCGAGAAGTTCAACCTAAACGGTTGAAGTGGTGGGCTAGCTTCAGATGGCGACAACGGAGGCACAAATGTGTAATCTATCTCCATGTGCATTCCAGAGTGTGTGGACAATAGGCGAAACATGTTGGGGATATCAATATCCCCCAGCCTCTTCTTCGAAGACCTTCAAGAAGCACAAACCCTGTTGAACACAGTAACCACCATCATGCCATCTTTTGGCATGTGCTTTGTACCTTCAAAGTGCAAAGTCATGCTTCAGAGCGTGCAGTTTGCCAACATATCCCATACAATTCAAGGAGAACCATTGGAGATTGTGGAAAATTTTACATACCTCGGTAGTTGTATTAGCTCTAACGGAAATGTGTCTGATGGAGTCAGTGCCAGAATCTCAAAGGATCGAATCACGTTTCATAATTTGCGTCACTTTGGCGTCAAACAGACATATCACTAGATCTTAAGGGTCGCGTGTAAGGGCTGTGTTGTTTTAAGGGTGCGAGACGTAGCTCCTGTGGACTGGTGGTGAGGTGTTTTCAGGTTTTTGACCAGCGATGCCTCAGGAGAAAATCGGAATCGTTTAGCCGTAGCGCCCTTTCGGTGCCTAGCTGCCATACCACACGATGGAAGCGCGAGGGCTGGGATACTGCCCAAGCCTAGACAGGGAAAGCCGAGAGGCAGAGGTCGGGTTCGAACCACGGACTTTCCGTCAGTAAATTCGCACTCTAACCACTGTCCATCTCGCCCCCCCCCCGATGTCTCAGAAGCATGAATGGTTTTGAATGGCGTTAGCGCGTTAGTAACGAGGTGATTACAAAACGGGTATTAGGTTGTGCGGGGTAAACATAAAGCACTACCAACTACGACGGCTCGGTCATGTGGCACGCATGCCGAAAAACCGTTTACCGAGACGAGTGTTGTTCATCGTGTCTCCTTCAAAATGAAGCAGACCACGAGGTGGACAGCGCAGGACTTGTCAGAAAGACGTGAAAGAGAGCACGAAGAGTTTGGGTGTTGTACTCCTTCAATGATGGGGTCCCCGTGACCCCATTTGTGTTTGTCTGGAGACGCTGCAAGGAATGGTGGTTAATCGATGTCAGTGGCCTTTGTGTTGTCAGATTCTTTAGATTGTCTGATTGAGCGTTCGGAGGTGCACGCACCTCAGAATGCGTGACATAGGCCAGCACTAGGTCCCCTCCCTCATCAACTCTTTTTCTCTTCTTTTGAATCTAGGGTTTTAAATATAATTAGACGAACCTTGTGGTCGTACGGCAGTGAAGCAGCAGCGTCAACATTGATATTGCTGTTTTTGATAATGATGATGATGATGGGCTCGAGATAGCTCAGTGGTAAAGGCGCCAGCTTACGGACCGGAAGGTCCGTGGTTCGAATCCAACATCAGTATCTTAACTGCTCCTGTTTCCATAATCCCTAGTGCCTGTACCTGGATTGTAAGTGGTGTGTTTACTGATTGCACGTCCAGTAGCATGACCTTACACACATGCAAAGTGCATATTTAAGGGGCGGAGGACTTTGATTAGTTTATCCAAAGGCGTCTGCGCCTTCTGCTCTTCGAAGACTAGAAGCATGTCGTCTGCATATTATAGATGGACGAGATAGCTCAGCGGTTAGAGCGCGAACTTACTGACCGGAAGGTCCGAGGTCCGAATCCGAACTCTGGCTATCTTGGTTTGAGCAACCTGGCAGTATCCCAGATCTCATGCCTTCTTCCGTTGACATGGGTGCATGATATGAATGCCCAATGTGGACGACTAAGCCCGAGAGAAGCACAACTAAGGGGTATATTTGAAGTCAATGCTCAGCGCATGGATAGCGTTGAGCGAGTGGTTTAGTTGTGTGCACATCATTGTCTGTTCCCAGCCAGTACGAACTTCCAGAGCAAACACTCAGATCGAGTTGCTTGAGGGCCTCAACCGCAAGACGGTTAAGGGCACAATTGGACCATGTGGGTATCAGTTACCTGGGTACGCAACTTGACTCTGATTATGCTACCGTGCGTACCCGGTTACCAATTCGCTTCCCGTCAGCATTTGTTGGGGATATCAATATCCCCCAGAAAACGCTGTTTTTATGTGTGCTAGCGAACTCCTGGCATCTTCAAGGTCAAACTATGAAAAATCAATGGCCTATTGATACTCCAAGGAAATTTAAATCCGACCACGTACAGGATACCATTTCTTTCCACTGACTTGGGTTCGGAAGCTCCGGGCATCGCCTGTTGATCGTGTGTTGTTGGATTATTAAAGTTTGTGTCCGAGGTTCTCGTCTTCTTACTATTCGCCGTGCTAGGAGTCTGTATCAAGCAACATAGCTGGGGATAGAGTATTGCCACAATCCGCATTATCATATTGTTTGCTCGCTGCGTGACCGAACCGTAACAAAACAGTTGGCTGATGATGTGCACCTGAACTACACACAAGAGGAAGGAAAATCTGACGCTGAGTTTACGCAAACCACGTCCCGCCCAGCGGAAGTACGCCTGAACCGAAACACAAGCTAAGCCCATAATACCGGATAAAACAGTTGGCTGATGATGTGCACCTGAACTACACACAAGAGGTATGAAAATCTGACGCTGAGTTTACGCAAACCACGTCCCGCCCAGCGGAAGTACGCCTGAACCGAAACACAAGCTAAGCCCATTAATACCGGATATGCTGCCTTAGCCAACAAGTGAGTTCTAGAAACCTCCTGGAAGGTCTAAGAAATGCGTTATTATATTCCATCCCTGCACTGTCGTCCCGTTTCCAACCAACAAGGAGTATTTAGATGAACACGACAGTACTTGTCCTGATATGGGTTCCGCTGTGTTCGAGGCCCACAAATGGCCATGTTTTTCACTGTATTCATCGACAGGAACGTTCATTTTCTAAAGTCTTTACAAGTTTTGCTAAAAAACCAAATGGGAAATTTATATAAGCTTAGTTGTCTGAAGGAATCGACCTACAAGGCATAGCACCGAATAAGAAAGTGAACATTGAGTTACAGGAATCTCCTCTCGAACACCCGCCTATATCGACCCCCAATCTTTGAACTACTTTAGTGCAAAAAACTATCCCCAAGATACTGCCCCTCCCTAATCTGCCACGCTACTGGATTCCTTACCGTTGATGTGACGTCCGCTGCCGGCGTAATGAAGGTCGGTCATCAACATCGATAATAATGCCTCGTTACCATACAACCACGAATACAAAATAAATTGTTCAGCTGTGGCGCCCTTTCGGTGCCTAGCTACCATGCCAACAGAAGGAGGCACGAGGGCTGGGATACTGACAGCAGGAGCAGTCTATATGCTGAGGTTAGTTTGTAACCACGAAGCTTCTGGTCCGTGAGCTGGCGCCTTAACCACTGAGCTACCGTACGATCATGATTTAGTCGAAATTCTTACTGTGAAGAATAATACTGGAGGAAGAAGAGGCACTGCTAGCCTAACACAGTCAGTCCGAGGTGCATATATCTCCAGACACTCATTCAGGCAATCTGGATAGAAACTGATGACAAGAACGCAAGTGATATCGATTTTGTGGCGTTTCTAGCTCGGCACAGTGGGGATCATGAGGTCTCCATCCTGGAAGGCGAGTCGCACCGACAGCAACCGACTTTTCATTATCTCTTTTGTACTCCTAGATCGGCCAACCAACACAAGCAGATAATGGAGCCTGGACTGTCCACACTAAATAGAAATTTGTATGTTTCACAATCCGATCCTATTGCCGAGTAGCTCAGAACTAGCACTCACCTGATCTTCGTTTGTGTATTGGACGCAGCGGATACAAAACGGGGGTTCCAGGTTGGCGAAGCCCAACAGAGGCGGCCGCGAGCAACTGGTGACAAACTTAGTAGCAGGAGAGAGAAGGGAAGAAAATGTGGAATACGAATGTGGCAAACTCCAACCACTTGCTGATTGCAACGGTAGTATACTTGTGTCAAAACCCAAGCACACATGAACGAAAAAACGAGGCAGACGTACACCCAGCACTGTCATGAAGCCGTGAGGAAGAGTAGGTCATCAATACAGACTGTAGTAAACCAATCAAGATCCGTCCTTGTAACAAACACAAGCACTGATAGCACACACAGACAACTCTGCATAAACGCGCCAGATTAGCGCACACAGTGTACTCAAAGCCAAGTTTAGCAGCTGAAAAACACCACCAGACAAGAATACATCCAAAATGGACAATTGAGATAAGCTTTACGAGCCCCAATGTCTATTACACTGACTCCTGTGTTTGACATCGGGCTTCCATGAACCAAAAACAGCGCTTCAGGAGGCGAATCCCTCAGGTTTGTCGCTCACCTTAATGCGATTTTTTAACATCATACCAACATACGGACAAACAATCTGATTGGTTGCTTTTCCTACAGGAGAAAACAGCCAGATCAATCGAAAGCTCGTTAAATGAACTAATACGAATGGAACAGATCACCAAAAATTGTGGGAACACGCGAATAACCAGGGGAAGACAATTTGAAAAAAATATATTTCTGAAGGTCTCACAGGAAATTCCACACAACAGGTATTATTCGGAACTGCTTTCATGCCTTCAAAGTAACAAAGTCAGACCACCGTAGTCAAATAGTTGTAGAGAGTGAGAGGTATTTGAAGGTTTGAAACAGTATTTCGTCCCGCAAGTAAAGTCAATACGTGCTGAAACACCGAAAGGAACTGTAAAACCGTCTAATCCATGTTGAGAATCATCCATAGTGCGTAACACGTGAAGCATTAGAGGTTCAAATCCTTGACCGTTGGGTTGATGGTTGAACACTGCACTGTTTGACTAGCAGTGGACTATCAAGAAAGGAAGAAGGCCTTCTCTGCGAAGTTACTTATTGAAAAACACCAATAGTATCCGTTATCAGTAGTATCCACCGTTACATCAGTAGTACGGTTATTTTGTACGTAGGTGTGGCGTCATTGGTCTCCAATCGGGCGGTTTAGGTCATGTGACCTGGAGTTGACTGGCTAACCGATTGGCAACTTCTTAATTCTCTTACATCTACTTACAAAGACGATTATACTATCACTTACAAAGCAAGAATGTAACTGTTTCATAAAATGGCAAAACGCAAAGATGTCTCACTTTTAGAAACAGGCCACGTTCGGCATCAGAGAAGTCACGTCGAAGAATGTCCCATAACCATTTGATCACACGGTGATTGCTATGAAATCCACCGGAATAACGTGTATTCTGTCTGTAGGCAAAAAAAATCATCAAACGATCTAGAGAATGGATCCAAAAAATAGCTACAAGATTTTCCTCTAAAGCGGAAAAGGATTTATACGTCCCAAACAGAGTACACAATCTCATTCGACATAAATCGTGCAGTGTGTTCGGATGATATCGGGTGGGGAAAAATTTACCCCAGACTTATCTGTTATCAGTGGAACAGAAGGAATAATAAACAACCATGATAAGGGGATTGCATCTTCTCCGAATGAAGCCGAGAAAAGCGCACATACTGACGATCACAAGTTTCTGCTACCGGTTGCCGGAAATGTGTAGATCCCGTAAGAGTGGATGGGAATTTACCAAATGCCATCATCTTGCATTCACAGTATGTCACACTAAAGTAAGTAGTTGTCTGACATCCGAACAAGAGGATTTGTCCAGTGTATTTGGTAGGGACCAATCAAATTTCTAAAGGGGTAAGCAATTATCTCACTACCGAAGGCGATACGGGGCTTATGTAATGTAAAACGATCAAGTTTCGCAATCAGAAAGTGGCACAAGACGCATCGCCACACTGTAAATATCACTATTTACCGAAATACCGATGTCTTCGTTACGGGTTTGTTACGTGTTTTGAAGATCCCAAAGCTCAATTCATAGGTGATGCAGCGGGCATCGGAGGTCACTGTCAAGGGTCTGGGTAGAATCGGTCTGCAGCTGTTTGTTGCCAGGATCAGTCCTGCTTACAAGCAACACAATAAGAAAGAGGAAAATTTGGGTTCGCTGTTGCTACCAAGCGAGTTACATTATATCACACATAGAGAATGATTTGGTGTGCGGGCCCTGGTGTGGTCATTTTGACAAAAAACATCTGAATTGTAATGGGGATAACGAACAACGCTAAGAACTCCTATAAACTAATCGTGAGTTTTGTTAGCTGGAGATAGCTCAGTAGTTAAGGGGCGAAATTACTACCGGAACTTCTGTGATTTGGACGCAAACACCGCAACTCGACTGCTCTTGTGTAGCCTTGGGTAACCTGGCGGTATCCCAGCCCACGTACTTTCCTTGGACGGAGTAGCAGCTAGATACCGAAATTTCGTTACAGCTGAACAACAACAGTAATATTAAATCAATTTGGTTTTCACGAGAGACCCAACTGAATCTCTCGTTTATGATATTCTACAACTGAATGTGCTGCACACAGGCGCCGGTCGTGGACTGCCGAAGAGTTTTCAGCAACCTTGTGAGCAGTTCCCTTTATGAAAATAATAATAGTAATTAGTTCAAAGGTTGCCCTAGTGGGTGCATTTGTGTGGATGAAGCAACGGAATCTGGTCTCACATGGATTTAGAAATATAGTATCGAACTGCATTCACTTGGCTTCTGAGCACAGTTAGTCGATTCTTCACTGGCTGTGCAATGTTGGAAGAGGGGATGACATTAGTTCCGCTATTTCAACCTCTATTTATGAAGAGTAGGAACGTCAAGCGAAATTATCACAGCACACAATACAAACATTGCACGAAGAGAAGACGGCACACTGATTGGTAAAAGAACACACGGAATTTAGGGTCTGACATACTTGAGGTCCTCAATGTTCACCGATATACTATCTCCAGAGATTAGTTTTTGCAGCTCGGGGGGAGAAAACATGGCCAACCAATCGGGATTGAGAATAGAGTAAAACCCACGAATGAACGAGGCAGTCTGAGCACGAATTTGCTTATACATACGAAAGTGGGCAACGCGATGGACATAACTTATCCTGCAATTGAAAATAGAAGAAATAGGGTAAAAAGTGTGGAGAAAAACGATAGGAACCTGATCCTCATTTAAGCGGCACGCAGTGTAATGCCACCACATAACTTGGTAGCCTGCCGTCTCGCGTGGAAACACCCTGCAGGATTCTCGGTCCCTCACTACTATATTCTATCTAACTCAACACTAGACACATGAGATGTATCATGATAGTAGTTCCATTTCAACACCAAAGACCGTTTGGATTGGTAACCTAAATCGATGCTGCGTATCGCGAGGTATCAAATACAATGTCTACTGGTATCGTAGACTACTTCTCCTACAGAACCACAATTAATGTGGCGTAACAAACCTAGTCCAACACCAAGACGAGAGAAGTCTTCCTATCGAAATCAATCGACAAGGTCTACGCAAAGCGACCAACTCAATTATGCTGTAATATTCCGTGAACTGGTGAAGGACAAGAGTGGTTAAACAAGAATCGCCAGCTACTGGTGAAAGAAAGAAGGCCTTCGCTGCGGTGTCACTTATTGGAAAATGCCAACTGAACAGTTACAGACTATTGGACAAGGGAGCGAAACTCTCATATGCATCTTGTTTACAAAGCTGAACATCCATCTTCTCCTTGAACGCGTCTTCTTGGAATTTTATGGATATTCATTGACTGTTATTCAAATGCAAGCAAATGCTACAAAGCGACTCCACAAATTCCGTAACAAATCTCACTTTTCAACAGACGCGAAGCGGATTTATGAGAACGTACTACTCGCATGCCTCATCAGTAGTATCCACCGTTACACTGGTATCATGAGGGTTTGCATTACTCACTGTGCTCAAGAGAGGCATAATGGATAACTATGATATTGCTTTATCCTAATATGTCATGACTCATTCTATACATTTCTGTTGTTTCTATTCTACTTTCTGTCGTATCGCTTGCTTCCACAGTGTTTCAACATGCGCTAAAATCGAACAAGCCGTTTGGGACGGGAGGTCAGTTTACACTGTTACAGACCACAAAGAAATTCGTGCTACTGGTTCAATCACTCAAGCACCAGTTAGATCGCAGACAGCTCAGTTCTGCAATGCAAATGACAGGGTCCTGTTGCCGTAAGCGAAGAGTTAACTGAGTTCACATTACTGAAGAGTAGAATCGATCACAAATGCTACTCACGGACTTGTGAAAATATATGTAGAAAGGATACTCTTTAGGCTTGCGGAAGATCTTCCCCAGATGAGCATTACAAAGGTTAGTTCCTGTTTGCTCCTTCAAACTACCGTTCATCACTTGAGCATTCACAGCAACATAGTTAAGGCGGCTTGATTGAACTAACGGCGAAAGGAGATGTAACGTATGGGGAGTGGTCATACACAGGACCATCACTTCAGAGCAGTTTCAGAGAAAGAGCACCCTAAAGTGCTGACACCTATTTAGAGTAGGGCACTGACTTTAACGCGCAGGCAACTAAAACGTTGTTGGGTAAGAGAAAAGCTTTGAAGAACACAAGTTCAGGTGTGGAAGTTCCTGATTCGCTACCGCGTTTACCGGCATATGCTATATCACACAGCTGACCGAGCTGGTGAAGCAGCCGAAAGAGACTTTAATGACACTTATAGATAACGGCTTTTAGCAGAACTGATGCTATATCGGAGGGCTGGGAAGCAATTTTCGTGACCGGTGCTTCGCAATCGTAGCGTATCCGGACAAGTCAGGATTCAAAATAGCAATCCACCATGGGGAATGTAGGTAACCAGCGCTGAGGGCTGTCCCGAAATCATTAAAAGGACAACTCGGTAACTACAAACGTTTCACACGGACTTCTGACTTTCAGATTCCCGTTGCTAACAGCCCATGAGCTTTGATTTCATACTGCAGCGGTCTCACTAGTGTGTGGGAAGTAGCTGAGTATTCGACACTTATACGTTACAGACACTCGGTCACTGTCATAAATGAAACTAAGAAAGTGTCAACTGATGTTCGGAAGGCAAGGAACCCCTCAACTGTGTGGCCATGGTTAGCGATGGGTATCTCTAACGCGGAAACCATGGTCCCCTAACATAGACTATTAGTGATATGGAATGACACGGAGATACGATAGTCCGTCTAAAGACTTACTTTAGGTCGTTCGTGACGGTGATGTAGCGGCCACCGGGACAGAGATCATGCACAACCATTTGTCCGAGAGAATCCTCTGCATAAGAATAGGTGAATTCCAAGTCGGCTACATCACCATCGTAGTGCTGTTCAAGAAACAAACAAAAGCCGGAGTTTATGTGAAGCACCAGTGGAGTATAACCCCAATTAACTGGAGTTTCCTCCATCATTACACATATTTGAGACAAAAATACGGACCGAAATCACAACACTCCGATTAGGAGGAAAGGCCAGTCCATTAAGCGGCTAAAAGTGAAACACAGACTGAACCTTTAAGGTACCGACAACAATTAGGTTGCAGAAGAGGAGACCTCTGTACATCACACTGTAACCAGATTGCTGAGTAGGCTACAAGAGCATCTTACCGGGTGTCAACACAGTTTGCTAAAGACACAAACGGATCCATTTGAAATCGTGAAATAAAAAAATCAGCTGTAACACCAATTCGGTGCACACACAACTCGAAAGAAGATACTGCTAGGTTGACCAAGCCTAGACGGGAGCAGTCGAGGTGGCACGGATAGATTCGAACCACGGGCCTTAACTGCTGAGCTGTCTCGAGCTGGAATCCACTCAACAGCCGTGGAAATACATCCTCAAAGTAGAAATAAGAAGGAAAGGCAAACTTGTGAGTAGTTTCCCTTGTGAAAATATACTGCTATATCGCGAATTTCGTTCCAACTGAAACATGAGGCGGCCTGTGTGCAGCACATTCAGTTGTAGAATATCATAAACGAGATTCAGTTGAATCTCTCGTGAAAACAAAATTAATTTGTAAATGAGTGTATTTGCCGAAGAAAGAAAGGCGTTTTTATTATCTGGTAAACTCAGTGAGAATACGAACGCCATTGATATTGATCAGCCGCCATTTCTCCAAATGCCTCCAAACAAACGTAGGAGGGGTCCTGAGGACCCCAGCCAGAAAGGCGTACAACACCAACAACACCCAAACTATTCGTAATCTCTTCCACACCGGTCTCCCAAGTCGTAAGTTGTCCGCCACGCGGTTTGCACCATTCTGAGGGAGGTACAGAGAACAACACTCGTCTCAGTAGACGGTGTTTCGGTATGTGTAGCACACGGCCGAGCCACCGCTGGATGTTTTCCGGGGTTGAAAACCCTCCTGTACAACCAAACACTCGTTTCCTAATAACCTCGCTACGAATTCGTTCACGCCATTTGACACCAGCACCACCGCTGGATGTTTTCCGGGGTTGAAAAGCCTACTGTACAACCAAATACTCGTTTCCTAATAACCTCGCTAAAATTCGTTCACGCCATTCGACACCAGCAACACTTCTGATGCATCGGTGGTAAAAAATCTGAAGAAGCCTTGTATCATCCGTCCGCACAGCCTAAATCTCAACCATGTGCACTGATGTGGCTCCCCTACACCACAATCATGTGCTTGGACGAGTTGATTATGCCACCGGAACGTACCATAGCCCTAGTGTTTAAAGCAGACGAAGAGGATTTGAGGAGTATGCTTCAAATCGACAGCCAATAATCGTCACATACCGCTCACATCAAAACGTCGATAAAAAGTCACCTACGAAGGACCCAGTTATGGGACCTCTACAAAGTAGGTGAGTTCAAAATCAACTCACGACTAGAAAAGCACCAGTTTGTTTTTAGAACAATCGATGCCTCGACCGGTTACCCTGCTTCACCGATCATTTGGATCAACCTATTATCACTTAGTTGTTCGGCCGTAATCTGTTGGAGCATGTACTTTCATACTGGGTAATCCACTATGGCGCGCTGGTGGTGCACGGAGTAAAGATCAGATTTGGGCGCGATAAAAATTCGTTAATGAATGACTGAACAAACAATCCAATATAATTGCTGGATTAGTACGAACGTAAAGAGGATTGTGTCCTCTAGGCGTAACACACTACTCATGCTGGAAACTCTTCGACAGCCCGTGACAGGTTTCGCTCTTCTTGGGGCTTGTCGGGTAGGTGTGGTCTCCGAGTTTCCCACAACCTGATGCTCGACTTGAACCTAAATCGAAAAGATTTCGACAAACATGTTCGAATTTCGTTTTGAAGCGGATCAGCATAAACAGGAGATTCAACTGGATTCAAGTGAATATCTTGTCGAAATTAAACTCGTTTGCAAATGATAGCATATGTCAAGGATTGGGTTTCCGACTTTCATGTCTCACCGAGTAAGCGGATTGACCAACTCATTTATGATTAAGCGGCCAGTTCACTGACTAGGGGAACGATACGTGCTCGCTTGACGTAGTGCGCACTAGTTTCACCGGTAAAGGAAATGGACTGATTACTCTCACATAATACAGCCGATTCACACCTGCGCGTTTGACTGAATCTATTGAAACGTTTGGCTTGGCTATGGTCAGTCTGGTAAAAAAAAGTTCAGCGTAATCTTTTGAAGATAAGCGGGCAAACAGACTACAACTTGTCACTTCCTCCATTACCCCAAAAGAACCGAAACGCCAACCTATCCTAAAATCGAAACTACCGATGAATGCTACGTATCTGAAACAGAAAACAAAGACTCCATTTCATCTAAAAGGTTATTTTTGACATGAACACCTTATTGATCGGTTATTCAAAGGATGTTTGCTTGGTTTGTGATATGACAAAATCATCGAGTGAACTCCTCCTATGTCAGTGTTTTCGGAATAACGGTATGAAGTCATTTGTATGAACACCACTCTAAGTGTGCTAGTTACGCTCTGAGCCTCTCAGTCAGCGTAGACTTGCATGCAGCGATGGGATTTGGCCCATTAGTCTAAGCATGCTGTCACGCAGGTTCTGAGTCCACTATCCACTCTAAGTGTGCTAGTTACGCTCTGAGACTCTCAGTCAGCGTAGACTTGCATGTAGCGATGGGATTTGGCTCATTAGTCTAAGCACGCTCTCACGCAGGTTCTTAATCCACTACGTCGACCAAATTGTGCGAAACATTCATCTACGGAGGCACTATGATGGATTTTCAATGCTACCGAAGATTGAGTCATCTTTGGTTGGAGATTGTCTATCATAGCCCCGCCAGCAGTTTATATTAGGGCGTACAACAAGCATGGTCAAACGAGGGGGATGCAAACCAACCCCAGGCCAGTTATATTCCACAGTAGTGATAATGTGATCGTGACCACAGCCTATTTGCATATGTCCTCTGTCCAACAATATCAAATGACAACATCGGACTGTTATCTCGCCCATCTACACCACCTAACGGTTAAGCAACATATTCCAAGGCTCACAATAAAACAACTGTGTAATTGACCGGTTAAGTGATCATAATCGATATGCGGTTACATTCGCTGACCGAAAGGGGATGGCGTGAATGTGGTACACCCAACCCTACACAACAACCACTTAGTACATGTAACAAAGTGACCGTCGCGATAACGTAGGAAACCATCTGGTCTGTGGGACATATTGAACCAGTGGCGATGACGGATAATCAAGTACTGGTGATATAAAGAGGGCTTCAATAGAAAACCCGTTGGTGCAAGCGAGAAGGTTACGAAAGGCGAGGGGGCCGTTGCAACAACGGACAGCATAAAGAAGGTGTGCTGTACAGACTTAGGAGTGGTTGTGGTTCCCTCATCTGAGTATATCATGTTCGTAATCAGCTGACGATTCAAACAATCGAATAGTTCATAGCCAAGTGTTCGGTGCACCAATTTTCTCTTTGCTTGGTATATTGTATTATGTGGTTTTTCCCAAATCAATCTCGTTGCTGTCACTGGTCACGCACACATATGAGGTGCATATATTTTCCTATTCACCTGATGGAACGGATCGAGCGACTGTTCAAGAAAGAATCGACTTTGTGCAAGAATAAGTGTGGAAACAGAAATCAGCGAGAATCTCCACAAGCATTAGTATCAGTCAACTCATAAAAAAGTCCGAATCGGAGCTGCTCATGCGGCGACCAGTTGTTACAGATTCCGAGTTCTTGAGGCACTCGAAACAGCACAAACTTGCAGTGGTTTGTCCGCGGATCTTAAGCAACGGCCCCATCATATGTACATCAGAATCAAGACACTGGTCACAACTGATGCAAAAAGAAGGGAATTCATCACCCTTCTGCCTATTGAAACAACAACCGGAAGTTCATCCTCATAAGCAAATGACATTGGTTCAAATCAGTGGACGAGCAGACAAAATGTGATGACTCCTCAGTGCTAGGACCCAACACGCAGTACAAACAAAGTGAACACCAACAATGGAAAACGAACCAGGGAGATTTCAGTTGAATAACCAAAAGAACTGATTGTATAGCAACCACTAACCTTTATATAACTGAGACTTTTGTATAGTTCCTTGTCCAGCGTGGCTAACTCGTCCAAGAAACTGTAGCAACCCGCCTTCTCGCGACCCAATAGTTGGGTGAGAAAGAAGTTGGCAAACGGAACGTCAACTACGATACCCTGTGTGGAAATTGAGAGAACGAAAGGAGGGATAAAATGCGAGACCCGGACTGATATCCAGGTAAATGCCAAAGCTGGGTGGCGCCCACTGGATACCCTACGTTCACTCGAAAGTCTGCATCCGAAGTGTAATTCGAGGAAACAGACTCTTCAAAATGCATTTTCAACACTCCGGGAAAATGCTCGACTCGATATAAACCAGATGAGGTAGCATATTATTCCCTTAAACTAACTTGGGCCACAAAGAAAGCGCAAAACTAACACTTTTAACCAGGTTAAATGTACGAAGCACTAACCACAATTAGCGACAAATTAGCCAGGTCGTTTTACATAGAATAATGTACTATTAGTAACAACAATAACATAGAAGAGCTCCGAATTAACCGGCTTGACATACTGCTCGATAACCCATATTTAATTTTGTCATAAAGTGGTGATACGTAAATGGCCATGTACATAGATAACGGAATAACTGACAATCGTTGCATCGTGTAAACTTTGCTTTGGTTCGCATATTCGCGCGTTACGAATGCACTTTCTCATTTTTTAAACAAAAAGGCCTAGTTGTTTGGAATCATACCTCCGAAACACCTTAACTTCTGGATCACTCGTTATTCACACAGAAAGCATGAATGAATGAAATCACATGCGGTGACACTTGGAGGTGCGCTTTCAAAGCATAGTAAATACAGTGAACGTAACTAGACGTAACGGGGCGGCAGAGTAGCACCGTTCTGATAAGCGACTTGTGGGAAACTAGTTTGATCCGAATTTCAGTGGATGACTTTGATTACCAGCATTGTTAAGTGTGGATTATCTCTGGGACAACAATCAAAGTCAAACATGTCTCGGAAAGCGCAAATTTTGAAAGCGACAACGGGCGTATTATCTGTAAACATCGATCTGAGTTGTGTAGAAATGGGAAACAAGTGGAACAAGTGAGATACAAACGACTGTTGTCCAGCGCAACGTACTTCGTAAATTGCTTTGGCAAGCATTTTCCCCAAAAACTCAAACAACATCAGATGATTGTCCTGGACATGGGAAGATGGCGAAGGGTAGAGACGTTGATCGCTGGTGACACGGAAAAGGTTCAGACTGGGGTCGAAAACTCGGTGAAGAGTTTCTTCGAGAAACTCTTTGAACACCCCATCAAGATCGATACCCACCTCATCCAAGCCCTAAAGTGAGAGTGAAGTAAGAGTTATGGGTAGGTAAATTTGCCGAAGGTATGTGCCGAAAGCATAGAGTACGATCAGTAATTCGCTATCTCGATAAATCTATTACCTGTGCACAGCTCTGTAAAACGTGGATAAATAGGAGGGAATTAGGATATTCAGTAGCTGGACAACTTACCATCTCATTAACGAACTGAACGCGGATTTTCATGCGAAGCTGAGATGAGTTTAAATTAGCCAGTTGCTGATATCCATCCTGAAATATACGGAAAGGATGTATTAAGAAAATCCGCACTCGCAAGGTAAGTGTTTGTCATTACTTGTAATACCATCATTTTCCTAAACGTTTCCGTTAAAAATAACCAACAAAGGTGCACAAGGTACATTAAAGCCAAAAAAACAGAGTCAATAATACTAGTAAAGCGCGTCAGATATATCGTGTAAACGGTGACACCTTTCTGGAAATCCTGGCGTCTTCTGGATGCGCCATTGGCAAACGGCATTCGGGCAATACTGGGTCATGATTAGCTGTTGGATCCAGACTTTTAAACAATCAGAGCTCGGCTTGATGCCGGACAGGCAAGCGGCCCGAAACTTTGGCCAATCTTAGGCGGGATAGGCTTCTCGGCCATAGTGGCGCCTAACTGCAAGCGGTAAAATAGGATCCGTATGGAATTCCGCCTAAAATTGCTGCAGTTAACTCGTGACAGAAAAAAACAAGGACAACTACTAGGATATCCATACCTAATGAGTGAATTACTTACCAAAGTGTTTTGGAAAGGAAGGGGGACGTGATTGTGCACAAAATGCACACAATAAGGACATTTCCTCATAGTTGCTTAAAAGGTTCCAATAATAGCTGGAATATTGATTTTGCACACCAGAAGTATTGAATAGCTGGTCTGCAACGGTACCTCGCGCATCGATATCTTCGGTGTGCCCTATCGATGAAGGTTAGAGGTAGCAGTGTTTAAGACATGAGACTACGGTCAGGAAGGTTCATAGTTCGAACCCAATCCAGGCATATTGCTCCCGGTTGCTTAAAAGGTTCCAATAATAGCTGGAATATTGATTTTGCACACCAGAAGTATTGAATAGCTGGTCTGCAACGGTACCTCGCGCATCGATATCTTCGGTGTGCCCTATCGATGAAGGTTAGAGGTAGCAGTGTTTAAGACATGAGACTAGGATCAGGAAGGTTCATAGTTCGAACCCAATCCAGGCATCTAGATTGCTCCCGTCTAGGTTTGGGAGACCTGAGGATATCTCAGCCCTCACGCTTCCTTAGAGTGGCATGGTAGCTAGGTACCGAAAGTTGAACAGTTGAACAATTATTGCATTTAGGTTATTTTACCGGTCAGAGTCGGGCTACATGCTGACAGGCACGAATGACTCGATGAGAACCAGCTGATCAGCGCAACCGGCAAAATAAGGAATCAGACTGATTTGGAAAATCGGTACACGTCTAATTACGATGTGCGATGAAGCAGCACTTGGACATTCAAAAGGGAGAGGCTCGAAAACGGAGGTCATGACAACCAGGCTTATGCAACGTGGTGCGACCGAACGACGGACTGGGTGACTGCACGGTTTAGCAACCGTTTTTTTTTCAATTTATTTGTCAGTCACCCGCCTCCTGAACCGTCTGAAAGAGTGGATATGTGCTACACTAGGCTAACTACAACGTTTAAGAACCATAGTAACTGTCCTAAGAAAAGTCACAATTGTCACAGGCTTTGAAGGATGCCTCGCTGTGGTGAGTAATTCCATTTTAGAAAGGATCCCACTAAGCGTGAACAGTACTGAAAACGGGGTTATGAGAGGTCATTCATTCCAAAGAGAATCATCGAAACGGGCTTCATGCCAAACCAGAGAAACCAGCCTATACGCAGAAGAGACCAACTTTCCCATCAAAGCACGCCCTCAAATTGAACAGAGTCATTAAAAGTGTGACGGGAACTGGGAAACAGGTAGGAAAACACTGGACTGACTTCGACTAGTCGGTTTCGATGGACGGTAATCACGGCACCCACTGGTCCATCGTCGGTCAACCAGTTCATTCGTGTTTGTACACCCAACGAGGCTTTGTCGTCTCGTACACGGTCCCGGAACAACAATACACGCTAAAATGGAAAAAAGATGAGGGAGACAACGTATCAGTCAATCATTGATTGAGGACTGGTTAGTTTGCAGGTTCACTAAACGGCACAAATGACCGGCGTTGTAGTGACTAATTATAGCGGTGGAAATTTGGTGGCTGAGGGTAGTTGCCAAGTTCATGGCAGACCACCATTAACACGATCAGACTAAGAAGACCAAGTTGGTTGTGAACGGTGTGTCTGAACGGTCACAACTAATTATCAATGCTCACTGTGGACTAGGGATTTCACAGACATTTTTTCAAGACCGGATTGTTGTCCCTCCTATACCTCGGAGATGACTTAAATTTGAATTTGGCAGTGACCACAGCCCGAAACCTACCTCATTCCGGCTGGCACGTCAAGCCAATAGTTACTGCACGTTTGAAGTGGAGGTATGGTCGGGGGATGGCCTGTAATCTATTAATAACTGTACAGTGTGTACCAGGCGGAACTGATTACTCAGTATATATATATATATATATATATATATATATATATAT